CCTGTGCCGTCATTTATCTGAAACAAATCAAAGCACTTTGAAATGTTTCAAAAGAAGTAGACTTGTTATAAAATTAGCTTTTGCTTTAAAATCTTGTGAAGCCTACAAAGAACTTTGATATGCCATGAGCAGTTAACAGCCAATGTGTCCATTTCATTGTTTCAAATTTTAAAATCAGTTTGCATGTGACCTCACATGGCAGGCTAAATTAAGAATTAAACTGTAAGAACCACTGGGTCAGATGCACAATAGACTTAAAAATATTCCTTAAATCACTGCATTAGTCCTGGGTTCAGTACCAAGATGTTCCCAATCAAGTATGTCATTGTTTCAGAAGGTAACGCTGTTATAATAACAACGTTTTTCAAATTTAAATACTCTCTCCAGGTCTTCTACGTTTATCTAGCCATGACCTAACACGTGCTCAGGCACGTCATCATGTGGCGGTCACGGGTGTCTCCTCGTCTGCACACACGCCTGTCCCAGGTGGGACCTCGTCCCAGCACCGCAGGGATCCCCTTCTCCGGGGTCCTCTGCTCCTCTTTCTCCCCCGGCCTCCCCGCCTCCCCATCTCCCCACAGCGCAGTGCTCCGTGTGGCCTCCCGCTCTGGAAGGCACCGCCACTCCTGCCTGCACATCTCTCGTTCCTGGAAGTCCGGCCCATCTTGCCGCGGCAGGCACCCAGCCCAGGCCCCGGGCGAGATAGGTTCTCCCTGCGTGTCTCTTGAGGCCATCGGTCACTGCTGGTTAGACACAGGAGCGTCCCCAAATACAGGATAGTTTTTTAAGAAAGAGATAAATTACTTTTAAGAACTGAAGTAGCCTGCGAGTGCCCCCTGCCGTTGAGCCGCGTGGCCCGGGGCAGACCTGCGGGTGCCAGGGGCGCAGAGCCCTCCTCCCGCCAACGGCCATCCCGGTTTCCTGTGTCATTGACTTCGTGACCAGGTGGATTCTCAAGTGTGCTGGCTCATCTTTAAAACTTTGTTTTGTGAAAATCAAAACTGAAATGTTGATGTTTGAGTTTTAATGTTTGCACAAATTTGTACACAATAAAAACAATAAGGTTTTAGAATATCTTTTTTCCCATAAGTTTTGGGGTTCCCCGGTACTGGTTTGGAAACCCCAGAAGTTAACATTTTCCCCACATACTTGTCAAAAATTTTCTTTAACTCCTACTCTTTTTATTACATGAATTTACTGATCCCATGAACGCCCAAAAATCTGTGCATGCATTTAGCACGTTTATTGAGACTCTGTTATGTGCCTGGTCCTGGGCAGGCATTGGGGCGTGGGAGACGTAAGCGGGGGAATAAGCAAGAAGTGTCCAGCCAGGTGGGGTGCAGACAGCTGACAGATGCTGTGATGTGGGTTGTGAGCTGCAAACACGCAGGGGTGCCTGAGGCAGCGCCGGGCAGTCCTGCAGGGAGGTCGGGAGGCTGCGAGCCAGGTCCCGTTGCCCTGTGTGTGTGTCCCATCGCTGAGCCAGGGTGTCCGGGGTGAGGCCTCCACCATGGCTCTGCGGTGGGGACGGGAGGTGGGAATGGAGCTGGCACGCTTGTCCCTGTGCCCGAGAGCGGGCTGGGGACGGAGTTGACCCACTGACGCTGTCAACTGGGGCTGTGGACCCAGACCACCAGCTTCGGTGGGCCCGTGCTTCTGTCTGGGGGGCTCTGGGGAAGCCACCACCTGGCACCAGCCCGGCCACCGCCCTCGAGAGGGGTTGGGCCCCGGCGCCGGTGCTGCCCCGTGGACGGCCCCCCCGAGCGCCTAGGCCACGGTTGGCGGCAAGCTGGTGGCACGAGGGCTCCCTGGATCTCCAGATGGGCTTGGCCGCCCGAGTGCGATGCGGCACGTACATACAGGCGGTAATTTGGGGGCTGTTTTTAGCCACCATGTGTGCCAGCTCCTGAGCGGAGCCTTGCTCGTGGCGAGGCGTTGTTTCTGTTCGGAAGCCTTCAGCTTGGCTTGCAGGAGAAAAATAAGGGGCCCAAGTCCAGAGTCCCCAAAATCAGGCTTGCCGTGTCTCCTGCGTCAGCTCTGGCGGGGGCGTCGGGGGCGATGGGCGTGTTCGCCTGTCCCAGTCGTGCTCATAGCTGGCGAACAAAGGGGCAAACCAGGAGCCGCGGTGCTGAGGCCGCGCCCGTTCCGTCTGCACCGTCCGCGGATGAAGGTGTCTTTTGGAAAATACCCAAGCGTGCTCCTCTGGGGCTCCGTTTCCCATTTTACCACTTGCACTACACAGGTGCGTGCGAGGGTGGTTGTGAGCACCTGGGGATTTGTACCGGAGTGTACGTATGACCTGAGTCAAGCTCATCTGTGTCCCAGAGCGTGCTGCTGAAGAAGGTTCCAGCCGAAGGCGCTTTCAGTCTGCGTGGGGCAGGGCCGTGGCTCCTGCCTGTGAGGCTAGTGCTGCCCGCGTTTGCAGAACAGGTAGAACGTGAAGTGTCCAGGGGTGCAGGGCCTTTAGGTCACCCAGTAAACACTCCAACGTGGCAAATAATCTCGCTTTAGACAAGCTAACGAGCTCCTACCATGTGCCGCTTGCTAGTCTAAGCACGAAGTGCTGAGCACCGATGGAGGTGCAGACGGGAGCAGTGTGAGCACCAGGAGGGCCTCTTGGTGGAGGTGATGCTGGATGCACAGGAGCCTCTAGGATGTTTATCCAGAAACCACTTCACTCTCTTTCTGTCTCCAGATGACCTTTGTGTGGCCATCACGCTGTGCGTGTTCCTAAGTCGGAAAGTAAACAATATCACTTGACCTTACAAAACCTGTTGCAACCCTTCTGTGATCACGGAGGAATTTTGCAGCCCTCATCCCAAATCCTTCTTCCAGTTCCCTGTTTGTACAGTAAAATGTTAACGGTATTTTCCCAGCTCTTAGCACATACAGTTGATTCCAACCCAGAGAAAGTTTAGTTACTGTTCTTTGTGTTCGAAATATGTGTTTGTGTAGATCATTAACGCCTTGTCACGCGGCCAGGATCTTACGGCTACTCTCGTCCGTGGAAGATTCGGGAAGTTAGAGAATCGGAAAGACCAGAGCAGAGGGAAGGCAGGAGAGGGGGTGTTTCCCGCCTCCGCCAGCTGACGGAGCTGTGGCCCCCGTGGCCTGCGGAGTTAATCTACGGGAAATCTCAGGAGGACAGGCGCAGTCCCCTCTTCTAAGTCCCAGCTCTTGTCCTCACATCACAGCAGCCGAGAGGAGCAAACGAGGGGGATAAAACGGTACTGGAATTTAGAAGGGATGACTCATTGTCGCCTCCGGGGGGGCTTTCCTTAAATAGCGGTGGCCAGCTTCACGGGTGCAGCCGGCTAGTGGACAGCTGGGCCGGAACCTGCCCGCGGGGCCTCCCACCTTCAGCGCTGCTCCTCTCACTCTTTCCTTTCCGCTCAAAGGAGCCCAAAGCGAGGGCGCCCCTGCGTGGTCAGGAGCGAGGATGGGCGCCCTGCTCTGGGGGCTGCTCCAGTCCCGCCCCCTGCCGGCCTCACCGTGGGCGCCTGGCGCAGTTTGCTGGCAGACGGGCACCCTCGGGGTGCCCCAGGCCCAGCTGCGGCCCAGTGGGTGCACGCGGCCCCGTGATGAGCCACAACTCAGCGCCCCGCTGCCCACGTCCTGTCCCTGGCTGCAGGGGCCGCGCAGGTGCATCAGGGACCCCGGGGGTGGGGGGGCCGAGTGTGAGCACCGTCCTGGGGGCTCTGGGGACGACGGCGCCCGCAGGTGTGGGGGGCCCTCCCGCAGAAGCACAGGGCCGGGGACGCAGCCCCGAGTCACCAGGAAGCGGTGGAGCTTCAAACCCCGAGACAGAACAGGGGCATCCGCAGACGTGGCAGGGAGCGCGTGGTGGCCCACGAGCGGCGGCCGGGACGGGCCCGCAGGACGGTCACCAGCCATCGGCGGCCTTGGGTCAGGGGCACGTGCAGCAGAGACGCAGGGGTGGGAACCACGTGTTTGGGGGGCAAACCTGAAGAGAGGCAGGGGGCAGGTAGGTGTCCTTGTGCAGTGAGGCCCTCGGGAGCGGGGGCGCTGGGTGCGGGGCGGGGCGGAGGTCAGCAAGGCCGCCGCAGGCCGGGCTCTGAACTCTGGTTTGTTTGCAGGATGCGGAAGTGTCTGGAAGGTTTGCTCAGGACGGGGTCGTGATGCAGCTGATGCCCCACAGGGGTCCCAGTGGCACTTGGTGGGGAATAAGCTCAGGGCAGCGGTCGGGGGGGCGGGGGAGCGGAGCTTGCTCGGGGAAGGAGTCCAGGGCAGGAGCTGGAGGGACAGTGCCCAGGCTTTGGGACTGGCTGTGGGGCCCCAGAGGAGGGCGCAGGCAGGAGAGCCCGGGGTGTGGCCCGAGCACTGACTGGTCACTGGCACCGGCAAGGCGCCGGCCTGGGGCACCCCGGTACCCACGGGTCCAGCTTTTCCTGGCTTTTCTTCTGTTCCGGGGACTTGCTGTCACGTGGACATTAGGCCTGGCTTCAGAGGCCCCGGGGGCTCACTCAGGGCAGATCCAGCCTTGAGGCTTTGGGGGTGAGGCCAGGACCCCACCGGCAGCTGTTCTGACCTGGGTGACCCTGAGGCCTGGGGGTCAGGAGCAGCTGACCCGGGGCCCCCGCTCCCACGGCACCAGCTTCTCCCAGGAGCTCCAGCCGTGAGACCCACTGGACCAGACGCTCGAGGGGGCCCCAGGGCTGAGGGCCATCCAGGGGCGGCACCTGCTTAGTGGTGGTACACACTCAGGGAGGGGGCCGCACCAGGCAGTGACTGCTTCCCGGGAAGCAAGTGGCCCAGGGCACACATGCCATCGGGGTCCTGCTGCCAGGGCCTCACAAAGACTGGCGGTGTGTCTGTTCCCGAGGACGCCTGCCGGGACGGGGCGGGCCAGGGGGAGAAGGCCGGGAGCCTGGGGCTCGCGTGCGCCAGTCCTGCCGAGAGCAGGGTGGATGTGAGGGGCCCCGGGGTGTGGCCGCAGCTGGAGCGTCCATCGGCGGGTGGACGGTGAAGACGCTGAGACGCTCGGGTGTGTGGGCTGCGGAGAGCGCAGCGGGCACAGCTTCCCGGCAGGCTCTCTGGGCAAGCTGGGGTCTCCCGCCCCGCTCCGTGCTCCTTTGTCCATTTCGGGCTGTGCCGATCTTTGCTATATATCATGTTTCAGCTGCATTCCGCCCAGTTACCCAGAAATCAAACTCCGTTCCTTCAGAATGTCTTCTTTTAGTAATGGGCTCTCCCCGGAAATCAGCATCTAGGAATAATCGGCGCCTAGAATAGGCTTTTACTAAGTATCTGTCATGCCTCGTTTTTGAGGGTTCGTGCAAGGACGGCATGCTGCGTGTGCGTTACGAGTGTGCGTTGGGAAGGCACTTTTTGTCCCTGTGTTACAAATGGGGAAACAGGCACAGGGAGGTAAGTTGCCCAAGGTCACGCACCTTGTAAGCAGAGCTGGTAGCCGAATATATTCATGTAACTGTATCTAAAGGCGTGTCCACTGGGGCGTGAGCTTTCTTCTATCTTTGTTTTAGGAATACATCTATGTGTCTCTATGGCTCTGTTTTTATTTGACAAGTGTCTTGGTTCCCTGGGGCTGTCCTCCCAAAGTGCCCACAGAGTGGGGGGCTGGAAACGCCTGAGCCACTGCCCCACGGTCTGGAGCTGGAGGTCCGAGGTTGGTCCTGGGGCCGCGAGGCAGAAGCTGTCCCCTCCCCCGCTTCTGGAGGTTTCTGGCGATCCCTGGCACTCCTTGGCTGGTAGACGTGTCCCCTGTCTTCACACGCGGCGTCTCCCTGGGTGTCCATGCCCAAGAGTCTCCCTTCCGTAAGGACCAGGCAGATAGGCTTAGGGGCCTCAGGAATGACCTCACGTAAACTTGGTCGACTCTGTAAAGACCGTGTCTCCAAATCACATCCCGAGGCACTGGGGTTTGGACTTGACATGTGAATTTGGGGGGATGCCATGCAGCCTGGAACAAGTGTCATAAGCTTTTGATTTTACAGTTGATAACCCACATCGCATGCTTGCCCCGGCAGCATGACCTTCTCCTTTTCTTTTAAGAAGGAGGCTGTCTCTACAGAGCCTGGTGTCAGCAGCCACTTCTGTTCCGGCATGACGTCCTCCCCGTCCGGACCACGCCATCAGCTGCAGGCATGCGAGGACCCCGCGCCCAGACACACGTCTGCCCACGGCCCTTCTGTTCTCTTGCAGGCGTCCTTCCCAGCAAACCTCCAGCTCGTCCTGGTTCTGCGCCCAACGGGGTTTTTCCAAAGGACTCTCTCTGACCTCGCGTTCAAATTCAATAGAGATGACTTCAAGATGAAGGTGCCGGTGAGTACGTCCTGGTCGCTCTGCAGGGCGGACTGAGTGGGAGTCATGCACTCTGGGCCCACGCTCGATAACGGAAACTCTCAGGGCGCACCCCCGGCAGGCGGGCGCACAGACCGCGCGGACCCGTCGGGAACTGCTGTCCTCTCACACGGCCCTTCCCTCCTTTCCGCTCCCGGGAAGTGCGTGTCCACACTGGGCCTCGGACGGGTACGGGTCGCTGTGGAGGTGCAGGTGTGAGAGCCGCGAGTCTAGAACATTCTCGCCAAGCGAGGGTCAGGCCGAAGAACAAGAGAGCCCAGCAGGCTGAGAGCCATCGTCAGCCTCCTAGTGAGGAACAACCAGTCCCCGGGGACAAGCCAGGGGCCAGGGGAACGGGGCCAGTGTCCCCAGGCCTGCAGAGGGAGCGTCCAGCGGGTGGGTGGCCCTGCCTCATCTCCTGCTCCGCGGCCCCGGCGGCCCCGAGAGGGCACTCCCTGCCGCCAGCCCCCATCCTTGAGAACATGAGGCCGCGTAGGGTCCCTTAGACAGGTGCCACCAGGAAGCCTGTTTCCCGTGAAGCCTGCTCGAGTCTCACCAGCTCCTCTGGGAGCAGCATGGGGCAGGGGGCCGCCAGGCAGCACCCCCCCCAGGTGCATTTGTTCTCCGGGAAATCACTTGTTCTCTGTTGCAAAGAGGACGAGAACGTACGGGGCCAGTCCCAGGAGCCTCGTAAGCTCCCGACAGTATCTACCAGATCGCTTTGGCCAACCTGAGGGTCCGTGGCGGTGGTTGTCCGTGAGGTCTATACCCGCTCCTCGGTGTACAAGATGCCGGGCGCTCTGCACAGTCAGGGGACGTGAGTGAGGCGTCCCCGGCTCGAGAGCAAGTCGCATTCGGCAGCCCTAAACCGTGGGCTTCGGGGTCTTGGGGACACCAGTGCGCTCACTGTTTGCAGGCCTGGATGCTTTTATTTCTGATGGCCCGTTTCCTGGGGATGGGCAAGGACAAAACCACCGAGACACCGCTCACGGTGGTGTCCCAGCATGAAAGCCACCAGTGCCCAGCCTCCTCCAGCCTCGTGACACCCGGGTGTCCAGCCTTGCCCTACAAGGGGCAAGTGAACCTCGTTAGCAACAGGTCTCGACACAGACGCGTCCGAGGAAACCAGACGGGGTCTGTCCTAAGGGTGGTGGTCTCCCCTGCAAATGGCACTGTTGGGCCAAATCAGTGAGTTCTCAAAATCATCGCTGGCTCTTCAGTGTGCTGATCCATTTTAGATAACCCTTTAAAAGCGTAGAAAACATCCTCTCAAGAATGCCGTTGTTAAAACGCGTTCACTTTAGCAACATGTCTGGTGTTGGTGCTGTGTGCTGACCTCGCGCTGGACAGAGAATGTTAAGAGAAACGGTCCCTACACCTTCTCTGTCACGAGTAAACGTACGTGGAGCGTGTGCAGGGTTTAGGTGAGACGCAGAAGTCATGAGGAAGGTGGCCAGGCTTTGGTCATGCGGGTCGAGAGATGGGGCTTTCTGCTGGAGGGGCAGAGAATCCTCTCTGCTGAGCCCGCTGCCCACCTCTGGGACGTTTCAGCCTCTTCTGCTTGAAGGCCGTGGCTCACGGGATCTCAGCGGCCTGTGGACAGTTTGGGCTGCATTATCCTCTGTGGTGGGGCTGTCCTGCAGGGGTGGGATTCAGCAGCACCCCCACATCGTGACGATCAGAAACGTCTCCAGATGGCGTCAGGCATCCCCTGGGGACAGAACCTCGTGGGCGATTAAACCAATACAGCATTCAATAATACACAAGATGGTGTCCGATACCACTTGGCCTAAACCTCTCAAGACCTGTTTTGTAGCGTCTGTCCGACGGCTTGCCAAGCAAAGGCTATGTCTTTGGACAGAATGTCCCGGAAAGGGCAAGAGAGACAGACAAGCCTGTGTGCAGCGCTTCCTGGGTCCCACGGAAGGGCACCTGTGATGAGCCCACCGGGTTTCCGTGGGCATAGGGACAAAACGATGTCCTTTCGAGTCAGAGCGCTGCTCGGTTGCCGCCAGGAGCTCCCCCGCCCGGGAGCCAAGCTGTGGGACGCCTGGTGCTGGCTGTGTGCCCAGCTCTTGCCGGGGCTCGAACGCCTGCCTTCAATGCCGAGATCAGTCATCGCAGGCCCATTTCACGCTGGGGCACAGAGAGAAGGTCGACCAGCCCGGACGTGGTAGAGCCGGGACTTAAGCCAGGGTCCAAAGCCAGACGCCTCCTGCCCGCGCAGCCGCCATTAGGGACCGGCGGGGGAGCGTTGCTCCTGGTCCGCCGGGTGGTCTCTTTATGGCGGCGGCTTCTTTCCTCCTCCAGGTCATAATGCTGAGCTCAGTGCCAGAATTACACGGTTACATCGACAAGTCCCAGCTGACCGAGGACCTGGGTGGGACCCTGGATTACAGCCACACCAGGTGGCTCTATCACCGCACAGTGAGTCCCCCGGGCCGGCCACACACGGCCTGCGCTGTGGGTCCCCCTAATCCCGACTTGATCGGCTGAATGGCTTTTGCATGACGATGCTGCCTTTTCCAAAGACATGTTCCCAGGAACCTCAGTTCTGTTCCCCAAGAATGAGGAGATGGTCTCAGTGGACCTCAGTCATCTAAAGAAACAACATGAGTAATCAGTTCGGGAGTGGTTTTCTCTGGGCTCAGAGACAGAACAGAAAGGAAAGCCCCTGGGTGGGGGAGAGACGGAGCACAGAGTGACTCTAGCTGATGAGATCCCGCATGGACGGTGCCCGCTACGCTTCTGGAGGAGTCGTGGGGCTCGGGAGCTGGCTGGGCACTGCCCTGCCCCCGCCCCGAGCATGGCCATGCGCTCCGCACCGGACGCCTGCTTTCCGGGCAGCAGGAGGATGCACGCGTGCACAGCTCGGTGAGGGTGTTTTCCTTCTTCCCAAGGCGATCGAAGGTTTCGCCCTCATGGTTAAGCAGACAGCTCAGATGCTACAGTCCTTCGGGACCGAGCTGGCCGAAACGGAGCTGCCCAACGACGTGCAGTCGACGAGCTTGGTGCTCTGCGCGCATACGGAGAAGAAGGACAGAGCGAAGGTACGCGTGGCTTCTGTGCGGGACGGGGATGGGCATCGGGCAAAACCGAGCTGAGGCCACGTCACAGGCGCGTTTTCGTGCCAGTGAGCCGGCGAGCTCTCCGAGGACGGAAACGTGCTCCTTCTTGAAAGCGGCCTGAGTGCCGCAGGGTCTGAGAGCAGCCTCCCTCTGAGCGGCTCCCGGGCGTCCAGACGGCCGGGCCACTGGCCATGAGCGTCTGCTGCTTGTTGGCACAAGCAGGGCAGGATGTCTGCCCGCAGTTCCCAGACAGCAGGTGGGGGACTGTGGGCTGACCCAGGGGACTGCGTCGGTCTGTACGCTAGCCAGCCACACTCCCGGGGAGCCTGAGCTGGGCGGGGTGTGGCTTGGGGTCAGGGCTGGCCCCACCCCCAGAAGCCCACACTCCCTTCGCTCCTGGCAGTGAGGACACCGCGGAAGTAGGCAGGCACCTAGAGGTCTGGTTTCCTGTTGGTGTCTTCCCTGCTCCCGCTGCCCCAGGCAACCGTAGCCCTAGCGTGCCCTGGCCACAGCAGAGGAGTCTCCGGACACCTGCCGTCCTTCGGCAGCTCTAAGGAGGAGGTGGGAGTGAGCCCGGGGTGCCAGGCACGCACTGTCCCCACAGGAGGACATGAGGTCGGCACTGGACGAGGGGCAGAGTATCCTGGAGAACATCAGGGAGCCGCTGGCCAAGGGCGGGGAGCAGAGCCTAAACCAGGACCAGCTGGATAACCAGACCACTGTGCAGAGGTGAGGCCCGAGCTGAGGCCAGAGCAACAGAGGACACAGGGGCCCCCAGGTCCTCATCCTAACGGGAAGCAAGGGGACTGCGAGTCCTTACTGCTGACACACTTGTCTTCCAAACCCCAAAGAAAGCAGCTGTTCCGGGGAGGAAGCTGTCTTAGAGCGAAGGTTCTTTTCTGCCAGCACGGGGGATGCTTAAGGGAGCTGGTGCTGACCGGTCCTGCAGGCTGTGGAGCCCTAATGCTTCCGCACCCACCTGTCTCCGCCCACCGGGCTGGCTTGTGCCTTCGAGACCCAGGGATGCTGTCCTTCCTGGAAAGAGGACAACGTGCACATCCTCTTTGAGCTCCAGCCGCCTGGCAGTGCTGTGCGGACTGGCCCCAGCACCCCGGAACACCCACAGCCCCACGCGTAGGCCCGGTCCTTGGCGGGGGACGAGGCGTGCACGGGAACCCAGCAGCCGGACGGCCTGCGGGCGACACCCAGCCCACCACGGGCTGACCCAGGCACAGACCCAGGCGGACTCTTACACGCAGTTTACACGGCCGGGGTGCTATGCCAGGGATGGGGGGCGGCCTCAGGGGGCCCCATGCAGGTGTGGAGTCATGAACAGAGGGGGCTGGAGCTGACCCCAGGGCTGACGGGCTAACACCCATGGGCATCTGGCAGGCGTTCTGGCCTGGGAGCGGGGTCAGTGAATGGTGGCGGCTCACTGCACCCTTCATCCCCGAACTTAGAAGTGCGAAGCCCAGACCGCTGCCCTCTCAGCTGGTAACACGCTCAGCCCAGCCCTTTGCCGCGGGCTCCCGATGGGCGTTGGCGTGGCCCAGTGCGATGAGGTGTGCGGGCGGCGGCCCGGTGGGGTCGCCCCTGCTGTGCCTCTCCCGCGGGCACAGCTGGCCCTGCGAATCCCGCGTCCAGTGCCGGAGAGAGGTGGCGAGGGTGTGGGCAGGCCGCGGAGCCAGAGACCGCGCCCCGCGCCCCACACCCGCGCAGACAGAGCCTCTCCTCTCCCCAGGCTCCTGGCCCAGCTGAGCGAGACCGAGGCTGCCTTCGATGAGTTCTGGGCAAAGCATCAGCAGAAACTCCAACAGTGTCTGCAGCTCCGGCATTTTGAGCAGGACTTTCGAGAGGTGAGTGGCCGGAGCGGGGGCAGCTGGCCGTGGGCGCAGGAAGCCGGCGAGGCGGCCCAGGTCCACCCGCCGCTTTGGGCCGAGCTGCCCAGGTCTCTGTCCGCCACACGGAGCTGCGAGACCCAGTGGGACCAGACCCTGAAGCGTGTGGCCAGTGAGTCGTTGCCCACGCAGGTTCCACTCTCTGCCATGGGCGTGCACTTCCTTGCGTTCCTCGTGGCCGAGTCCAGGAGCCATCTGGACGCCCCCTCGCCCAGTGTGCATCTGTCCTGTGCCGGCTCGCACGTCCCAGGTGCCCTGAACTGAGAGCAACAGCCACACTGGGCTCCATAGCTCAGGGATTGTGGGGTGACGCGTGGGGGTGATGCGCCGGGGTGACATGCGGGGTGACGCCTGGCGGTGACATGCGGGGCTGACACGCAGCCGTGGGGTCAGAGGTCTCGACAGGACTCAACAGAAGCCGTTGATCACTTATTTATGCGCGTGAGCGCGCTGAGCCGTCCATGTGCCCTCGTCCTGCCCCATGATGTTTCTGCTGGTCCTTCTGGTCAAGGTGGGGTGGGGGGGTTCCAAATGCACGAGAAGCAAGTAACGACCCCGAGTCCAGCGCGAACGCCGTCCCAAGGCCATGGGTAAGGGCCAGGGGAGCAGAAGCAAGCGTTCCGGTCCCCCCAGAGTCCTGAAATGTCACCGTTTCGGGAACACGGGATTGGTTCAGTAGCACTGAGCATGTGCGGGAGCTCGGCGCGCAGGGGACCAGCCTCCCTGGTTGGGACCAGAGAGGTAACCCCGCCTGTGCGAACCGTGGGAGCAGAGAAGATGGTCCTGCCTGACCTCCTCCGGGGGCGCTGAGGAGGGCCCACCAGACACGACAAACGACACTTACGGATAGCTGTAGACTTGCGGACAGTTGTGAAAGAATCCAGCCAGACCTCACCTACCCTCTAGCCAGCTGCGGCCAGAACCACGCGGTCAGCACACGGAACATCCCGCCCCAACACAGACCCGGGTTTCCCTCTTGTAGACACGATTCCCTCCCACCCCACCCACCCACCCCTGCCCTCC